TGAGACCCTGGTCTCTATTAAAATAAAAAAAATTAGCTGGACATGGCGGTGCACACCTGCAGTCCCAGCTACTTGGGAGGCTGAGGTGGGAGGATCACTTGAGCCCAAGAATTTGAGACTGCTGTGAGTCATGATCACTGCACTCCTGCCTGGAGGGAGGAGCAACACCCTGTCTGAAAAAGAAATTATAGGTGTCTGTCTGATAATGATACTACAATGTTGCTTTAAAAATAAATCTTAACTTTTGATTTACATATTTAAGTGTTTAAAGTTGAAATGATATATGTGGAATCTTTTCCAAAATAACATAAGAAGAGAAAATGTATTTAAAATTTCATGAAAAAGATTGGCCATGAAATGATCATTGAAGTTGGATGCTGCCAGTCCATGGAGCTTCATTACACTGTTCTGTCTAGATTTATAAATGCTTGATATTTTCAATTTAAAAAATATTTTAAAATTAAGACATACATATTTTTTAAAACCCAAAGGGGAGTATATTTTAAATGAAATTGATTCTAAAGTTAATATGGAAAATAAAAACTTAGCAAAAGGACAGCCAGAAAAATCTCTGGAAAAAAACAACAACGACAACAAAAAGAAATCGCTCTATGACATAGGTATAACACAATAGTTAAAACTGTTGATACTGGCAAACTGATAGATGAATGAAACAGACAAGTCCAAAACTAGATTTACATGTACGTGGAAGTTGGGTGTATGATAAAGGTAGACTCTCAGAAGGACATGGGGGGAAAAAACCAAATGGCTTGGGACAATTATGTAGACAATAAAAACATAAAGTTCCATCCATATTTCTCGCTTTACAACATGACAAACTCCCAATATGGTAAAATCTACACAAGTAGGTAATAAAACCATAAAAATATTAACAAGGAAACTTGGGATAATTCTTGTATGGCATTGAATAGAGGAAGGTCTCTCTAAATATGACTCAACATTTAGAAGCCAAAAAAGAAAAAGAAAAGAAAGCTACTATATAAAAATCAAGAACCTCTGCATGGCCAACAAAACTTAAAATTGAAAAAATATTCATGATTGATATTATAAGGACAAATCTTTCTAATATATACACAGTCTCAAGAAAGCAATTAAAAAAATCCATAACCAATAGAAAGATGGCCAATGAACAGATAATCTACAGAAGCATATGAAAGATATTCAAGCTTATTTACTCAAGGAAAATTACAAAAATTATATTGTATGATGTTTCACTGATAAAATTAGAAAGATCCAAAAGTTTGATAGTGTTTTATTCCAAGGCTTTGGGGAGACAGGATCTTTCACACATTGCTGGAAGAAATGCAAATAGATACAACATTTTGGAGGGAACTTGACCTAGCTATAAAAATTAGAGATCAATATACCCTTTGCCTGAAAAACTTACCATGTGCAAAACACCATATGTGAAAAGTTATTCATCAGCAAGTATTTCCCAGGAGGAAATGGAATGAGAGAGGTAGCAACAGGGTAGGAGGAGGCTCCCACATAGGTAGGAGCAAAGTGTTTTCCGGTATATTTGTACTATTTTGTTTGTAAGCCATGTGAATATTTTGCCAATTTAGACATCACACGGTTTTTTAAATAGACATGTTCTTTTGTATTTTAATATAATGGTCAAAGGAAAATACAGTATTCAATTAGTAAAAGGTGATAAATGTAATGAAAAGAAAAAAAAATAAGAAGTGGACACACAAAACCGGGGACCTTAGCCAGGAGACTAGGGGAACCCCCTGCCAGGAAAACGACATGTGAGATAGTGGTTTCAGGCTACTCTCTGTATTAGAATCCCCTGATCATACAAGGAAATATCAGTGGGCTTTCTGAGACACCCGAGAGCTGAAAAGATGAAAGTAGAGAAAACTAGATCCCGGGAGGCTGTGTATTCTCTTGAGGATGTGGATACGATGGGGTGATATGAAAATGGAAACATAAAATGGGTGCCTTTTATGAGCCATAGTAATACCAGCCCTCCGATTTTCATCATGGAAAACCAGCACAACATTATGGTCCTCAGTTCCATGTAAATCACCCTTTTGAACACAGGATTCACTTCTAGAGACCCTGAGCTAGGAAAGCTCCAAACTCCTTCCGTTCATGTGCCCACCCAGCTGCAGCCCAGTTTCTAAGCAGATTGGAAGCTTTGCTAAGCAGATTGGAAGCTTTAGCAAACAATTCTCTATATATGTGTGTGTTTCCTAACTGCCAAGAGGTAGCCCCATCGAAACATGCCACTTCATTGAAAACGTGGCTTTTTATGAAACCATGACCAGCAGCAGTACTAGGGGTGGTCATTCTGTGACTATAACAGGGGCACACATGTGGTACTTTGGAGGAACTGGAAGAAGTTCAAGACCTTTGCAAAAATGGCTTAAGACCAGTGGGATGGCAGGAGACACGTGGAGTGGCTAGAAAATGTAGGCAGCGCTACTCAGGGAAGTAGATGAAAGATGTTAGACTTTACCTGAGAAGCCATGTTTTTGTAGCCCTTGAGGGTCTAAGAAAAGGTGGTGATATCATTGAAGTGGAGTTAAGATGTGTCACTCGGGCTGGAATGTGGAGAATGGACCCTAGAGGCCCAGGGGTAGGCATGGGGAGGTCAGTGAGAGAGTTGTTGCAATAGCCCAGGTGGCCATTAGTGGGGATAGCAGGATGGAAAGAGGCGAATGGAAAAGAGAGGGAAATGAGAGGGAAAAGAGAATCAATGGAAAGTATCCGTAGGCTGGTTAAAATGTGATCCAGGCCGGGTGCGGTGGCTCACGCCTGTAATCCCAGCACTTCGGGAGGCCAAGGCGGGTGGATCACGAGGTCGAGAGATTGAGACCATCCTGGTCAACATGGTGAAACCCCGTCTCTACTAAAAACACAAAAAATTAGCTGGACATGGTGGCACATGCCTGTAATCCCAGGTACTCGGGAGGCTGAGGCAGGATTGCCTGAACCCAGGAGGCGGAGGTTGCGGTGAGCCGAGATCCCGCCATTGCACTCCAGCCTGGGTAATAAGAGTGAAACTCCGTCTCAAAAAAAAGAAAAAAAAATACATATATTTCTTTCTTCTTCCAGGAAAAGATAACTACAACTTTATTTTCTATTTCTTGAGTCAAATTCCTATATTATTTGGGTGTTCGTCAATGCAGAATGTATTGTATCACATCTTCTTAGGAAGTTTGACAAAATTAAGCAATTTACAGCAAAGATCAAGCTATTACAAAATACTGTTTACAAAGTTTATTTAAATATATTCTTTAATTATATTCATTTATCTACTAGCAGCCACCTTATTTAATGTGATGCTCAATTCTTCAAAATACATTTATGAGGACATTTAAAAACATGCTTTTTTTCCTCCAAATTATATGGGGCAAATAAAAAATGTGGGCAAAACTTTATTTATTTATTTATTTATTTACTGAGACTGTCTCGCTTTGTTGGCTAGGCTGGAGCACAGTGGCCGATCTCAGCTCACTGAAATCTCTGCCTCCCGGGTTCAAGCAATTCTCCTGCCTCAGACTCCCGAGTAGCTGGGATTACAAGCATCTGCTACCATGCCTGGCTAATTTTTGTATTTTTTAGTAGAGATGAGGTTTCACCATGTTGGCCAGGCTGTTTAGGCATCTTGTCTCAAACTCCTCACCTCAGGTGATCCACACACCTCTGCCTCCCAGAATGCTGGGATTATAGGCATGAGCCACTGTGCCTGGCCTATTGGCATAACTTTGAAAGTGATATATGAAGTTTTGTTTGGCAAACACTCGCATGTGACAATGAAGAGAGGCAAAAACTGCAAATTTTGTATTTTGCACTTTAAAAATAATCTGGGCCTGGCACGTTGGCTCTCGCCTTGTAATCCCAGCACTTTGGGAGGCCGAGGCGGGTGGACCACCTGAGGTCAGGAGGTGGAGACCAGCCTTGGCCAACCTGGTGAAACCCCATTTCTACTAATAATACAAAAATTAGCCCGGCGTGGTGGCACATGCTTGTAATCCCAGCTACTTGGGAGACTGAGGCAGGCGAATCACTTGAACCCAGAGGCAGAGGTTGCAGTGAGCCGAGATCGAGCCGTTGCACTCCAGCCTGGGGGACACAGTGAGACTCTATCTCAATAATAATAATAATAATAATCACCTTTGTCATTATCTTGATTCTATATGTCAAGTTAAAGACAAGGTTCTAGGCTCCTATTTGCAAAGGGTATTAAAAATAACAATTATTAACATAAACGATCCTTAGACTTTGAAAAAGCAAATTAGATACAATGTTGCTTCAATTCCCCCTTTAAAATTTATTTCCTTAAAAAAAATCCTAATGACATTACTTATGCTCATAAAAATTTTATCGGAGGTAGTAAAGTCTTGAGACAAACTGCAGAATTATCACCTAACGCCAGTGTTCTTTAAGAATCTTGTCTTTACCAAATAGCCAGTAATATGTTCCATTTTTTAAAAAGTCATTTAAAACAATTTTCAGAACCTTAACCAAGATGCTTCAATACCGAAGTACCGGTACCGTCATCTGAAATTGGAGAGTTTAAAGCCGCTCTACCTTAGAGAGGTATATTGAAGAGATAATATTGTTTAACCTTTATAAACGATTAATTTTATTTGGATATTATAGAACAGAACTTGAAACAGGGGTCACAAAATTCTTTCAAAAGGTGAATTCTCAAAACACGTCCCCACATCAGGAGCTTGAAGCCTCTGCCTCACTAAAAGTAGATCCCACCATCACCCCGGAGCAAGGAGGCAAACCCAGAGACTGGGACCCCACCTCCCTCGGGGCGTGGCCCGAGATCCTTGACCTGTGACCCCACCTCCTCTGGGGCGTGACCAGGAGGCCCCACCTTCTCCGGGGCGTGGCCCGAGATCCTTGACCCCGTGACCCCGCCTCCTCTGGGGCGTGGCCCGGAGGCCCCACCTTCCCCGGGGCGTGGCCCGGAGGCTACCCTGCTAAGAGCCGCGTAGCCCTAGCCGGGCGGAACTACTGTGCTCGCCGCCCTGTTTCCGGGCGGGGACGCTCGGGGTGGGACGCTTGTCCGTTACGCGTAGACGCTGCTGCACAGCAATGAAGTTTCGGGCCAAGATAGTGGACGGGGCCTGTCTGAACCACTTCACCCGTGAGCAAGGAGGCAGGAGGGGAGCGAGGGAGGAACGGAAAAAGGCAGTGAGCGCGCGGTGGGGACCGCGGGGGAGGGTCAGAGCGGGCATGGGCGCCGGAAGGGGCCGCTAGAGGATGGGGTCCGGGATGGGGGTGCCTCTGGAAGCCGCGGGAGGGCGCGGGGCGGGCCGTAGGGACTTGCAGGGATGAAGGCGGCTTTCAAGGGACGTTTCTGAGACTTGATTCCGATCACGGGGCTTTTTAAAAAAGCGGCCACTGCTCCCCTAGACGGCTTTATCAGGCGTGGACATTCCTTCAAGGCTCCATTCGTCCCACTACCCTGACAGTGCCTAACTTTGCATTCAGCTCTGTGTTGCAGTACCCAGTAGTCAGTAAGTGTATGTTGAATGAATGAATGACTGGTAGGACACTGAAGATGTGTGCTGTACATCTCCCTGGGTTTGTTGGGAGAATTGCATGACATCAGAGGTATTAAAAGTACTTTCCAGTGTGGTACAAACGCAAGTCGTTATGTTTTTCACCGGGAAGTTGCACCATGATGAACAAGAAATTGTGCAAAATAAGTTGGTGTCTAGGATATATGATTGTGCATTTTAGTAATTCCTTATTTTAACTCCTGCTTTAGGAATCAGTAACATGATAGCCAAGCTTGCCAAAACCTGCACCCTCCGCATCAGCCCTGACAAGCTTAACTTCATCCTTTGTGACAAGCTGGCTAATGGAGGGGTGAGCATGTGGTGTGAGCTGGAACAGGTGAGCAAAACTTCTGAGAGGCCTGCACACGCTACGGACTGTCACTGGAAAGACCACCAATGCCCTCGCTCATCCCCCATTTTTTTTCTTTTAGGAAAACTTCTTCAGCGAATTTCAAATGGAGGGTGTCTCTGCAGAAAACAATGAGATTTATTTAGAGCTAACATCGGAAAACTTATCACGAGCCTTGAAAACTGCCCAGAATGCCAGAGCCTTGAAAATCAAACTGACTAATAAACACTTTCCCTGTCTCACAGTCTCCGTGGAGCTGGTGAGTAGGAGAGTCAGGGTTTCTGAAATTTCCCACAGAAATCTTGGCCTCGAAGGAATAGGCGTAGTTAGCCTAGCCTTTATAACAATAAATATTGTTGAAAACTATTTGGCTTATTTAAATTTAAAGATCTGGTCCATAACTATGTTTTGCATTAGAGTCAGTTCCTCCTCATTTTATAGTGTCGTGATCATATGCATTCAGCTAGAATGCTGCTTTTTCCAAGTCATGAAACTTCCAGCCTCTTTATTTCTTGTAGTGGTGTTGTCGTCTTGTCTAGAAATCATGATTTCAATCCATTTTCACCTTTGACATGTTTTCTCTTCACTCCCAGCCTGCCTCATCTGCTGTAATAACCTTTAATGGTCCCTCATTCTTCAGTACACCTATGCTTTATATGCTACTGCCAGATGAATTGAGTGCACAGCTGTCCCCCAAACACACAAATACATAAACTCATACGTACACATACAACACAGAGTTGCTCTTCCTATTCACAGGATGAAATTCGTATTTCTGTCTTGATTTGTTTTGTTTTGTTTTGTTTTTGAGATGGGGTTTTGCTCTTTCGCCCAGGCTGGAGTGAAGTGAGTTCTTAGCTCACTGCAATCTCCACCCACTAGGTTCAAGCAATTCTCCTGCCTCAGCTTCCTGTGTAGTTGGTATCATAGGTGCCCACTACCACGGCTAATTTTTTGTATTTTTAGTAGAGACAGGGTTTCGCCATGTTGGCCAGGCTCATCTCAAACTCCTGACCTGAGGTGATTCACCCACCTTGGTCTCCCAAAGTGCTAAGATTGCAGGCATGAGCCACGGCACCTGGCCTGAAGTTCATACTTCTTAACATGACCAAAGCTGTTCACATATGGCCGAGCCCTTCTTAGGGACCAAATTATAAACTGTGGTCCCCTGAGTGGTTTCCCCAGATGTGTCCCATGCTTTCTCAACTCCCAGGCTTTGGTGATGTTGGGCTTCCACCTGGAGTTTGTTTCCTTCTCACTCTGAAACCGTCTCTTCGTTTAGTGCTTGGCACCAATGCTTCCCCTGCCCCAGCCTTCTGTTCTCTTACAGCTCTCCTTATGTATTGTATTCAGTTGGTGCAATGGTAATTGTGGTTTTTGCCATTATATATACTTTATCCATCTACAGGTGAGTATTATATTTAGTTTCAAGCTTTCTGTGGAAGAGGATTCCTCAGCTTTTCTTCATACGTCTCAACTCTTTGCAGTCAGGCAGTTCTTAGAGCTGATTGGGTATTTCATGTCACAATATAAGTTTGGTATGTTTTTCTATTGCTTAAGGAAAAGCAAGATAGTAACATGTAATACTTTTCTATCTAAAAGTGCAAAATCTTTTGGTCTGTGAGTCTCATACATGCCCCTAGACATAGATAAATACAGTTTGCATTTTAAGTGTTTAGAAACTGTGCAACACACTGAGTGTCCTATGCCTAAAGAATGGCCTTCTTGGTTGCCTCAGCATAGCAGCCTTGCCTCTTTCTGCCTCACGGCTTTCCATATGCTGTTTCCCCAGCCTGAAACACTGTCCCCTTGTTCCTGTCTTCCCATGGCTGCTACTTCTCCTGGTTTTGGTGGTATCTGAAATGTTACCTCCCCTGTCTAAGGAAACCCCACCCCACACTCACCCTGGTCACTTTCTCATGGCTCTAGTGAGCATTTTATACAAGTTTCATTTGTTTGCTTTTTTATTGATCTGTTTGTTCCACTGGAACACTGGGGACCTTTTTGTGTCATTCACCACACTTCCCAGTTCCTGAAAGTACCCTGAGTATGTTTCGTAAATATTGGCACCATCAATATTGGTCGAATGGCTTTTGAGTGAATAAATTGACAACATTCCACTTAGATTTGTCGTTTCAACTTTTTTATCCTCGGGTCTTTGGGTTTGTTTTGTTGTTGTTTAATATTAACATAAAAGTATTTTTTTCTTGGCAGTCTTCTATGTCAAACAGTAGCCGCATCGCGACACACGACATCCCCATAAAGGTTATTCCTAGGAAATTGTGGAAGGAGTTACAAGAACCGATGGTCCCAGATCCTGATGTAAGTGATGCCTGCAGTCCTGTTAGTACACCCCACATTAAATGGCGTGACTAGAATTCTCTAATTTTAGTTGTAGTCTTGCAGTATATTTTATTTTTAAAGGATACGTAAGGAAAACATTAGAATATTTGCCTTTCGTTATTTACATAAAGCATCTTAAGACGTGTTGCATATGACAGAAATGCCATGCTGTCCTATATATAGAAAACGTCTCACTCAGTAACATCACTTAAACAAAACAAAACTGAAATGATACTTTGGCAGACAATTAGTATTTGTTAGTGTTCTTGGCCTTCAACACCAATATGGGTTTCGCAGGACTTGATCTTTTCCTCAGCCTGTCAGAAGCAGCATCTGGACATGCACAAAAGCCAAGGAGAGAGGAATTTCATGTCTTAGGTTTTGGGTTAACAGTCATGCTGATGGTTAACCCTAGAGCCCCTGAAAGTAAAGATGATGCCAAAGGGCCCATTGCCTCTTGCTCACAATTTATTTAAGAAGAAATTATAAAAATATGCTGGGTAAAATCATTACTTGACTTCTACTCGAAGGCATCTATGCTGATTTTGAAAAGGCCCGTGTTTTATAGAGCATGCTTGCTAACAGACTCGAGAATGATGGGGTGGCTGCCTGCCATATTTTTGCACAGAGCATGGAAAAGGCCCCTGAATCCTAGGTGGAAACGTCCCTTAGAGGAAGGCCTCCTGCTGAGTGCCTGAGTTTTCTTCCCCCTAGACCAATACAGGAGCATCTCAGCCGAAGTACCCTATTTCTTCCTGAACCAGAAGAATGCCCACAGGGACATGGTTGCTGAGGTAACCAGAGTCAGGCATTCCATTCTTTGATTTTGCTTGAGCATCCGTGAGATAGTGAAATAGAATTGGTTTCCTTCTTATATTTTTAAAAGAACTTTATTTCAGAAAATTTAAAAATAGTACTCTGTAGTTTTGGAGCATGCATGTGTTTCAGAGTTAGTTATGGAGCCCTTGTCCTTACTAGAGTATATTAATATTTTTAATACTTGTGATTTTCCTTATTGGTTTTGCAGGTTAGTATTTATTTACCAGTCTTGAAGACTATGAAGAGTGTTGTGGAAAAAATGAAAAACATCAGCAGTCACCTTGTACGTTACAACTTCATTAGAAAATAGCTCTGAAGTATTGGGTGGGGCTGCATGGGCTGCACACTCTGGGAGGCAGCTTCCCTGTGGGCTGAGGCGTGGGTGCTTTAGCTGACCCTGCAGTGGTCCATGCAGGCAGGCATCTCCTAATCAACTTCCCACTCATGGGGTCCTGGCCTGGTGTTGAGAACCTGCAGATAGATTGCTAGTTGAATTTAGAAACCTATTTTAATACTTTTCAACTCTCATTCACTGAGGAAAGCTTTTATGTTTGCCTTTAATCCCTTGTGTTTATATTTATAGTATATTAAGAATCTATTCAGCTGTTCTTCCTTTTTTTCCTCTTATATTTCGGATGGAACATTGTATTTTTTACCTGCTAGTGTGCCTATATTTTACTGTGAGTCACCGATATGATTGACAGTGAGTTTGGAGTGTCTTATCTGCATGTCAAGTGTCTTTCAGTGAACCAGGGACAAAGATTTGCCACACCATAGACCCTTTATTCCAAGCAGCTCTCATGCCAAGCTGGGGGGCACTTTTATATTTCTGTTTATTTTCTGTGTATTTTGTGAAAGTCTTCTATGGCCACAAGGCTCAAAATGTTACATTGTGTGACAGTGGTGGGAATTGTGTGGATTATCCTCATTCACACTTGGGGTTATTCTGAATTCTTCCTTCACTTACCGCCCTACCCCCTTCTCCCTCCCACCCCAAAAAACACACTTGGCTATGTCCCTGAATCTTTTAAAAACTGCTGTCCACCTGATGAAGCATAAACTTTTGATCTTCATAGTGTGCCAGGCCACCTCTGTAGCCACATTCTGTTCTATTGCCACACCCTCCCTGCAGAACCAGGCTGGGTTCTGGTATCCTCCCACAATGCCTCTTCTTTTTGGTGCAGTTTCTTTGCCATTTGGCACATGGCTTCTTCTCTCCATCTCCCTGAAGGCACTAGCCATTTTCATGCTTCATCACTGACCTTTCCCCATCACCCCTCTGGAAGTGCGTCCTCCATGGAGGTGAGCTCTCCAATGTACATGATAAATCACCTGCTAATATCTCAGAATGTCTCCTGAACCACCAGCTTCTTGGTAAGGAAAACCCTGTCTTAATCATCTTTGTGTCCCAGCTGCCCAGTGTGAGATTGCCACTCGGTAGGCAACAATAACTGTTACATGGATCTGGAACAAAATTAGGTTCAAGAGGTCTTTGAAATCATAAAAGTTTTTTGAAGCCTAGAAAATGTGCATTGAGCTGTTTTTTTCTAGAATTCTGCTCACTAAGAGCAATGCTGTCATTGGGCCTGTCTAACTCAAAGCTTTACCTTCATAACTTTATATAGAGCTCATTTTAATTTAAAATCTGTTTTCCATGAAGCAGTGTGCACTGTGCAGACATTGGTGTCACCTGTGACTGCAGTGATGTTGATCCAGTTGTCAGCCTGGCTTCATTTAGGGATACCCTGGGGACTTCCAGGGAAATTCAGAGAGGCCCAGGAGAGAAAAGACAGGGCAGTTAATTGAAGGATAGCATTTGTTTGTTCCTTCTGTTCAATGGAAATGAGTCAGCAAAGTAGAGAGGTAGAAGGGTAGCTTAGAATCATCAGAGGTATTTTGTTTTCTCTTTTTTGGAGTTTAAAAAATATATAGAAATTTTGTGGAGTAGCTACTACAATCTGGAATTACTAAATGGAAAGTTACCAAGTTACTGTAGCAAAGTACATAATGAGGTCTTCCTGGGTATCCAGAATTCTATATCTGAATAGACAACAGAATTAAGGAGAATGGGTAGGCTAAACAGACTAAAAATAAAAATGTCCACCTTCCCATAAGAGATGCCCAATCACTTCCTTCTTTCATTAAATGTGAGATGTGACTGATGGGGTGGGTTATGTATGTGACTCATGCAGGAATAGAAAAAGGAGTAAGAACTGGAAGGAATCTACATCATGTTCTAAGTAAGACATTGCTTCTAAGCTCTACCATGTGTGAATCTGCTGGGATCTGGTTAAAGTGCAGGTTCTGATTTGGGAGGTCTGACCTGGAGCCTGAGGCTCTGTTTCTGACCAGCTCCTGTGGGATGTCAGTGCTGCCTATCCTCAGATCATAGCAAGTAGCAGTGCTTCGTGATGTGCGCCTATATTACTCCGTTTTCACACTGCTATAAAAGATATTACCTGAAACCAGGTAATTTATAAACAAAATAGGTTTAATTGACTTGTAATTCTGTATAGCTAAGGAGGCCTCAGGAAACTTACAATCATGCCAAAGGCAAAGGGGAAGCAAGGTACATCTTACATGGCAGCTGGAGAGAGAAGGGCACAGGAAAATCTGCAGCTTTTAAAACCGTCAGATCTTAGGAGAACTCCATCACTATCATGAGAACAGCATGGGGGAAACTGCCCTCATGTTCCAGTCACCTGCCACCAGGTCCCTTCCTCGACACTTGGGGATTACAATTCGAGATGAGATTTGGGTGAAGGTACAGAGCCAAAACAAACCGTATCAGTGCCATACTATATTGTATTTCAAATACTGTCTGAGAAATGAGCTTTGCAGCGTAACCTTAATGATGGAAACCCAGAGAGTCTAGGTTTAGGAGTCATGCTAGTGGAAGAGGAGAATCACTGGAGCCACACACCTGGGTTTAGCTTCAGGCTGTGCTGTGCAGTGAGTGCCCTAGTGCTGGATACTACCCCAAACGGGGATAACAGTGCAGCTATGACGGGGCTTTGTTATTTTTATAAATATAGAGATAATTTTTATTAGGTGCCCAGTATAGTCAGCATTCAATAAATAACAGGTGACTGTTATTAAGGAAATCATTGAAAGATCTTACCCAGATACTTAAGAAATCAAGTGTGTTGATATGCATAATATTCCAAATAACTGAATCATAAAAATAGACATGACTGAGCAGTGTTCAGAGAGTTAGTTGTTAGTTCATTTCTTCAATAAGTATTGATTTAAGGCTGCCATGTGCTGGGCACCAGGTATGGTTAGGAGGGAGTTGGAACCTAACGTTCTGTTACTGAGATATTTAGGAATTGGAAGAAAATACAAGAGAATATTTAAGCCTAAAGTGCATCTAGGACTGTTGCAAGTTGCATTTTTGAATATGTATTTATTTATTTATATCTAAAACCATTGTTTTTCAAAACAGTGGGAATTTACAGATCTTGGGTGTGTGGTTGTTTAAAACAAATGAGCATAAGTCATGTGTTAGCCTTACAGAGCCCCAGTAAGCAGTCCAGCATATTCACAAAGATTGTTTTGTATATTTTATTTCAGTCAACTATTGTTCCAGGTATAGGAAAGGGGAAATATAACAGTATATTTTTGGATTAATGAAAAAAAAAAAGGGTTGAAAATGAGCATTTCTCATTCAAAGGTTAATGTACTAGATTATACAACAAGTAAGTTTGGCGCACTGTTTTTCTATTAATGTCAAAAGCTCAGAAATAAGAGCTTACCCAAGTTAGGAAAAACTTTATTTTGTTTCTGGAATGAAAAATATTCCGACTTCACCAATTTTAAGGAATAAGAACAAGGAACACTACATTGTATTCAGTAAACATGGACAGTGATACAGAGCTGTGAAGATAGGGTGCCCTCTCTGTTTTTGCTCTGTGGCACTATGAGGATGCAATGGTCCCAAGTAAGACTAGATGCTAGGTGGCACTTTTGTATTGCTAGATGGTAAAATGCTGTCTAGCAGACCACACACAGGCTTTCCAAAGACCTCTTAGTCTTTAACGTTGGGCAGATAGCCACAGCATAAAGAGAGATAATATGTACTGGTTCTTTCAGGAGGAACTTTAATTGTATGTGCGGGAGTGGACCGGGAGAGGTTAGCATAACCTCAGACCACACTGTGGCATATGCTTCATTTATAGGTTCCATCCAATTAAAAGAACTGATTGGTTGCTGGGGTGGGTAGAGAAGAGCTTCAAAGGAAAGGAGCCTCCTGTGACCTGTGGAGACAGTCCCAGGGCAGCAAGAGCAGGAGTAGAAGAGGGGTGCCCGATGGTATGTGAGGGAGAGGCAGAAGTCTGGTAGCCTGGGTGTGTGGAGGTCGGCCCAGCCATCCTCAGTCCTGGTAACCTTACAGCAGCCCCACACCCTTCTGAATTTGGAAATTTCATTTTCCAACATGTGAGTTTATTTTCTAAATACATGGCTATGTTCTCGTGAGATTCTTTAGAATCTTATAGTCATATTAAATGTGTAGTTATAACAGCTGGTTTATTTTATAAAAATAGGACACTGATTTTCACATTCTTTCTCATTTTCACCTTTCCTGTTTTGTAATAGTTATATCTACGTCATCAAAGCATAAAATTATTACATATTCTTTCCCCCTTCACTCCTGTTGTTTAGTTTTGGTTCTACAGATCAAAATAAGGCTTACACTGTTTATGCTGCAACTTCTCCAATCTTTTTTTTTTTTTATGTGGTTATCAAAAGATTATTCTCTAGTGTATCACTTAGGAGGGACTCACGGGAATAGGATTTCATTGGCTATCACGGGTTCATAATATCAGTATGGCTCATTGTACTGCATTCTCTGCTGGTGTAGATTATTCCTATCCAAAAGATGATTCCATTCTGAATTTGTTTCACAGCTTAGATTTATTTATTTGAAGATGGGAACTAAATACCGTGGGCATTTTTTCCATTTTTTAAAAATCCAATTGTCTTGACCATCCAGGGTCAGTTTTCCCAGGTGTGGTGTGTCCTTTCAGTATGTGGGCCCAACTCTTCATTCGCTTCAGGAACGTTTTGAGCTGTAGTTGATAGCATTTCTTTTCCAGTGCTTTGTTTTTTTTTTCCTGGAACTCAGAGGGCTTGAGTCTTCTTCACCATCTTCTTTATTATTTTCTGTTAAATCCTTTTTATCTCTTTTTTTGTTTGTTAATTTTTATTTTTCTCCTTTCCATCCCAGTTTCTCCTGCTATTCTCTCTGTAAAGCCTGTTTGCTTTAGTCTTCTTCCTTCTAAACTAGTTTCTGTTTTTGAATTTTTTTCTTATATTTCTAATCACTTCCTATGTTGTCAGCTGTGTTTTCGTATGTGCATGCTGTCTGGTCATCTCATGTCTGAGCCTCCCTAATTCAGATTTATGTTGTTCTTTCATAGCTTCTACCATTGTTAATTTCTTTTAGTTGGTCTTGAAATAGTAGGCTACACTCTGCATCTGGTTTGCAGAATGCCTTTAGGTTTCTAAGTGTGCTATTTGGGTATTATAATTTCTGTTTTTCTTTTTTCTGAATATCATGTGGAACTCGACCACAATCCATTTTTGTTGCTGTTGTAGGTGGTTTTTCTGGTTAAGAGGAAATTTCAGTGTTGGAGTGGGAGTGGACCAGAATAGTTTTCTAACTTCGTGACTCTAGAATTCTCCATTCTTTGTTACCACAAAATATTAAAACATGCATCCTCTCCACTTCCCCAGGACTTCCTGAGATCTATCCCTCTTTTTCCATCATTTAAAGTTTCATTCCCCTTTTTTGCCCAACATGCCCATTCTGCTCAACTGAGGCTCTTACTTCTGTGGTTCCTTCTCAGTGTAGGACTCTCCTGCTCATCAGCTCTGCCCAGCCCTCCCTTGTGCTGCTGTAGTCTCCTGGCAAGTCCCTCTGAGTTCCACCTGTTTTCACATCTCCACTGAGTTCTCCATTTCGGGAGGCAGGCGGGGGGATTTCTTTCCCCTTTAAGATTTTCGGGAGATTTCTGAGCTCTTGGCTCTTAGGCCTTATCTTCTCTCTTTTGCTGATACCATGTGGGTCTGAGTGTGCTCTGAGGTGTTTGGAGGTTTTGTAGGTTACTTTGTCATCTGGTTGCATGAAAGCTGCTGCCCATGGAATTTTTTTCCTTTTGTCTTCCTTTTCTAAGACCATGTAAAATACTTAATTTGCAGGTGATTGAAGCAAACCTAGATGGAGAATTGAATTTGAAAATAGAAACGGAATTAGTATGTGTTACAACTCATTTTAAAGATCTTGGAAATCCTCCATTAGGTAAGCTTTCTAATGGGTTATATTTTGCTTTTGGTTAAGTTGTTTCGGATAACCTACCTATTGAGGTCTCCTCATGTAAAAAGGTTGAAATTCAGTTTACTCTGTTTCATGCTTGGGGAAGTAACAAAGGAATTGAGATTAGACTACGCATGGCTGTGGCATAGCGGGACAGTTAGCCACCAGGGGGAGGGGCTGTGCCACCAAGCAGCTAAGGGATCTATACAGGGTCTCTGTCCTCTGTAGAATTCAGTTCAAGTTAAATAACCTCCAAGATCCCTTCCAGCTCTTCAGTTCCTGTTCTGCTCCTAACTGGAATGGATTCAGAAGGGTAGATACATTTGTTCTTTTATTCTCCTTTTTTAGTTACTTCTGTATGTATGAAGTTAGTGTAGCCGATTTAAGACTGTTTTACTTGATCACATTTCTCATCTCATACAAGGTAACTAGGGATGATGGAGTCAGTTCAGTAGGTGGGGAAAGAAAGGACGATTAGACAGTTTGGTGAGTCGTAAGCCAAGATGGGGTTGGAATCGTGGCTGGGAAGCGGGCAACTGTACAGTCGCAGGGGCTGCCTGAGCAGGAAAGCAGGCAAAGGACCACGAGATAAACACCTGTGGATGATGAGAAAGTCATTTTATGATGCAAGGTGTTCCAGAAGCCATAAAATAGGCCCTAGTCACTTTTAGAATTAAGTTACTGGAAGTTCGCTTGAATGTAAACACAGACTTTAGCATAGAGTTGCAAGGAACTTTTACTTTCCAGTTAAGAGCATCCTATTTCAGCAGAGTGCAATCCATATGATTAAGGCTGTGATAATATTGTATAAAGTGATTCATTCTGATGTCATTCGTTTGTTTATTTTAATAAACACAAGATGGGACTTATCTTTGGTACTTTCTCAGAAGTTGAAAGGATTTTTTTTTTAAATTTCACTTTGGAATTACAGGCCTTGTATTAGTTAATATATATATTTTTACTCTTTTTTTTTTTTTTTTTTTTTTTTTTTTTTGAGGCGTAGTTTCGCTCTTGTTACCCAGGCTGGAGTGCAATGGCGCGATCTCGGCTCACCGCAACCTCCGCCTCCTGGGTTCAGGCAATTCTCCTGCCTCAGCCTCCTGAGTAGCTCGGATTACAGGCACGTGCCACCATGCCCAGCTACTTTTTTTGTATTTTTAGTAGAGACAGGGTTTCACCATGTTGACCAGGATGGTTTCGATCTCTTGACCTCGTGATCCACCTGCCTCGGCCTCCCAAAGTGCTGGGATTACAGGCTTGAGCCACCGCGCCCGGCCGGTATATTTTTACTCTTAAATACATAGTAGGTACTAATAAATTAATTTCCTTTGACCTAAAGAGGGAGATTAAGTCATATTTCAAGTCCCCTGTAAATAAAGAGGCCCTGGAAATGATCATAGTAGTTTAAATAGTTAGGACCTGATGCTTAATGAATGACAACATTTACAAGTTTTCTCTAGCATGCCAAAACCGGTGCTAAAGTGAGTCATTTATTCAGGTAAAATGCGTTGAGTATCCCCAGGTTTCCTGATATGTGCAAAGATGTTGTGTTTAAAAGCATTCCTGTCATTTCAGCCTCTGAAAGCACCTCTCAAGACAGAAACCCAGAACACATGGCTGAAGTGCACATAGATATTAGGAAGCTCCTACAGTTTCTTGCTGGACAACAAGTAAATCCCACAAAGGCCTTATGCAGTGAGTTTGCTTCTCTGTTTTATTTTTCATATTTAAAATAATTCAGTCAACTCGAGTCTAAAAAAAAAAAGCTCAATTATGTAGACTTTAGCTTCCTAGGACAAGTGGGTTTTTTAGATTTTCCTGGATTCCAAAGTACCTAAAGGTGGCAGCAGAGAAACAATCCCTGGGCACTCTGTTAGGGCTGGAAACCTGCAGCCACACTGGTTGGTAGGTGGGTTGTGCGCTGCCTCATTTGGCCAGCATACCTGGAGGCGCCGTCGGGAGAATGGGTGCTGATCATCCCACCTTCTCCGTGGTCAGCTCATTTTACCTACTCAGAGCCCCAGACACGGTTTTGCTTGGATTTAAGTTTTCCCTTGTGATGCCTTGTGTCCTTTCTGTGGCTCTGCTGGCCTGTGCTTGTTGCCCGCTCTCTGTCCCTCGGCTGCTGGTTGCTACGTGCTGCCTCTTGATTCTGGCTGGGCCCCGTCTTGTGCGGTCACACACCTGCTCCGGCCCTCTTCATCTACTGACCACACATAAGAAAGGTGTTACCTACCAAGGGCTTTTCACGCCATTTTTGTTGCCTTACTACTAGAATCACAGCAACCTAAAAGAAACTGTAGCCTGCATTTGAAGTTCCACGTTTTGTAGAATAGCTCCCAGGCCGAGCTGAGAGGGAGGTTGGCCCCCTACTGCCCCTCATCCCCTTCGGATCTGCAGTGTGCTGTAGAGAAGGAACAGAACATTCTGGGTGGCAATGTCAAGGACCAGCCCTTTTGAATGAGAGACATGAAGAGAATCAGAAGAGACCATGGGAGGGGTGATGGGTGTTTGAGACTTGGGGAAGGTGTCAGTTGGAGTGATGGGCACAGAAGGAGATATCGCCAGAGGAGCAGCTTTAGGGTAGAGATGGAGAAGCTAGGCTAGCCCAGATCATGGGAAGTTTTAGGGTGAGGCCCCTGTGCTGCATTTTAAGGAACTTTGACATAGATGGTGTCATGTTTCTAGGGCTGAGAATAGTGGGAGCTGTGTGGTACTGCAGGGTCCTTAAAGGTGCTTCTCAGAACCTTGATGTGCATGGGGGTCACCTGGAGGTCTTGTAAAGCAGACTCCATGTTCATAGTTTGGGCTGGGCCTCCTGGCTGCACTTCTTACAAGCTCCTATACAATGCCCAGACCCTTGGTCCTGACAAGCACTCTGAATGCTGAGAGGGTGAAATACCCCTCCTCTCTGCAGAGTGCGGAAACATAGGATGTGGGGGTCCCCTGTGCTGCACAACATCGGTCTTTGAACTTGACATTTTGGAGACCTTCTGAATCCAAGGCTGGTGAACACAGTTCTTATCAAAGGTGTTTGACTAAGTCACATGTCTTCTCAACGTTCAGTTTGGTGTACCCAAGTGTAGGAGAGAAAGGAGGACCCGCAAATTGTGATGTAGCAAAAATTTAAAAAAGAAAAAACCCTAGGTTGAACTTCTCATACCTTCTCCTTAACTTCCCAAAGCTCCTTTTCTGTCTGTGTCAGCCCCCTCCAGGTGCTGGCTCAGTTGTCCCCTCCTCTCTCTGGTCCTGCCACCCTCAGTCTCTGCCTCCCCGTGCCCTTGCACTACCTCTCCTAAAGAATGTTTGTCTTCCTGCTTGGGCTTTGCGGTCCTTTCCCCCACCTCCCATCTCCTGGGACTGGCCTCTCTGCAGCCTGCTCACACATGGTTTCTTGTCACTCACTCGCGTCTGCTGGAGTGCTTTCCTCGGCTGCTGTGCTGCAACTCCCCGAGCTCTCCGTGGTTGTCCCACTGTGTGCTCCTGCCCGCCCTCACATGCTCTTTACTTCCCTGCTTCGTTGCATGCCTGATGCCTTGGATTTTAGCCGTCACACAGCACAGTGGCTGGCTGTGGCCCTCACAGGATTGGCAGGACTGTTGAGATGCAGGGGTCCATCCCATGCAGCAGTGTGTGACACAGCCTGTCCCAGGTTCTTGGGGATTGTGGCTCTCAGTGCTTCTGAGCACAGTTCTTTCCTCACTGATGAGGAGCTGCTCTTCCCCGCAGAAGGACGCTGATGTGGGTAAATGTGGTTTGCCAGGAAGCCGGCCTGCTAGGTGTTTTGCCAAGGGCTTGGCAGTTTCACTCTTCCTCTCCTTGCTGCAGGGAGCCATCAGTACTGGCGCGGTGATGCAGCCTTAGCTGTGGCAGTGAGAGTGAGAGACTGTGGCCTCCGCAGCTGCCTCAGGGAAGATACACCTAAAACAGGTGGAGGCTGGGAAGGCTGCTCTGAAAAGTAGGAACGAAAATGTGTGTGCTGCACTAGGTCTTTAATATCATGGCTCTTCTCTTCCCAGATATTGTGACTAACAAGATGGTGCATTTCGATCTGCTTCATGAGGACGTCTCCCTTCAGTATTTCATCCCCGCGCTGTCCTAGCACCCTGTGGTTGGAGTTGGCATGCAGAGACTTTGTCAGGATGGGAGAGGCCGTAGACGTTGTGTTCTCACCACTGGTCTGTGTCCTCACAGTACCGCACATCGCCACACTGTACTTATTTGTCCCTCTCTAGCATCTCAACTAAAAATTGATTGAACGACACACATTTGGATAAACATATCACTTCATGTTACTCATGGCTGTTTTGTTTTGTTTTTAAGACATTAAAAAGAACAGCTAGAATTTATTCAGACTTTAAATAACAATTTCACGTTGATGTTGTGAAAATGCTCGTGTATTTAGTAGACTTGGTGTAGTAGCCAGAATTCATAAAGTGTTGCCTGGGAGCTTGATCCTTTCCCTCCGGGCGGAGGCTCTAGCTCAACACGGTGTGTAGCACACAGTGGGTCTTGCATTTCAGTGTGTTCATTTAGCTTGCTCCTCTCCCTCAGACCCCAGTGACAGAAAGGACAGCCTCTGTCACCTCTCCGCCACTGCCTTGGTCACTCAGAGTACTGTGGGGTGTCACAGCGCAGCATTTGGGGTCTCTTTCTTTCTCACCGAGGACTCGAGCCCACCTGGGCCCACTCCCCTTTTGATGCCTGGAGAGCTGGCCCAGCCGACGCAGCTCTTACCTGGGAGCTCTTTCTGCCATTCCAATTAGTTTCTTCCTGGGGCCAGTTTTGGTTTTAGGTTGTAATTCCTTATATTTCTTTCTTCCACAGTGCATTGGATATGTCATTCTGGAAAGAAGATCCTTCTACTTAGAGTAGAAACAAACGAAACTTACAAGGTATCATCTGTGTTAAGTGATGAGACCATACTTCTTTGATGTTTCTGAATATCAAAGCTGATTCAGTACTGGTAGATATGTCCATTCTCCCAGAAACATATCCATCATATTTCCTGTTATAATTACATCTCATTGTCCTGTGGAGGTGGACATGATAAACATCTTTTGTTTTCTTGCTTTGTTTTGTTTGAGACATGGTCTCACTCTGTCACTCAGACTGGAGTGCAGTGCCGCAATCATGGCTCACCACCTTGACCTCCTTGGCTCAAGCCATCCTCCCACCTCAACCTCCTGACTTGCTGGGACTGCAGGTGTGTGCCACCACACCCAGCTAGTTTTTAATTTTTCCTAGAGACGGGGTCTCACTGTGTTGCTGGTCTTGAACTCCTGGGCTCAAGCCACCCACCCACCTGGGCCTCCCAAAGTGCTGGGATTTCAGGCATTAGCCATCACACACCCATCCGTAAACATTATCGTAATGTCACATTACAAAATTGAGACCTAAGTTGCTTAGGATAAGATGAGGAAATGGAAGATTAGCTAAAATGAAAATTTTTTTTTTTGCTTTTTCATATTTTTTTGGTGAAACCAGTGTGTTTGAATGATTCTTTTGATGTTTAATAATGTTTAAATAGGATGGAATATTTTGCTAAATTAACATTTTAAAATTAGAAGACACCATTTTAATTTTTAAATGCTTTCTCCTCTCTTTTTAATGAAATTAATTCCAGCTACAGTGAGAAAACTTAAAATTCATGATACAAAATGAAACAGTATCTGAAAGTAGTTTTATAAAACTGAAATTGCTGTTAACGAGAATGTGTTAGTGACTTAACCATTGCTCTATATGATGTTTATTATCAAATACACATGAAGATTTTAATGGATGGCTTAAGATTTTATCTTTGTTTAGAGTGTGGCTAAAGAAATCTTAGTTGGGATTCAAGAAGCTGGGGTCTGTTTCTGATTCTTATCACAACTTGCTCCGTAGTGTCTACCAAGTCCTTCACCTCTTTGTACCTCAAAGAGCTGTGAAAAATGATGACAGGAGCTTGTTGGTACAAAACCACAGACTTAGAGAAGGGCACAGTGCTGCCCATTGAATGATCTACCAAGGTAAAATTTTGTCAGGTCAAGACATAGCAATTTAATCCATTTAGAGGAATGAACATAATTTGAAAACTTAATTTATTTCCAGATAACATCTCAAAGTGTGGAGATCTTTTTTTAAATAGCCTTCTGGATTTTGAGACATACTTTCACTGGCTGTGATTTATAAGAACTGTGGTTTGTGGAGTACTGTCCCCAGGGCAAATAAGGCAGTCCCCTGTCTTGGCCTGCCCTGGGCTCAGGGCCCCACATTCTTTCGGTAGGCGCATCTTCAGTTGAGTTTTGAGGTCATTCTGTGCCGTATTGGAGACACTTAAGAATTTCCCATTCCAGTTGCTCCTGGCTATCATCCAAGTGGCCCTGCAATCCTCCTCCAGCCCTTCCTTGGTCCAGCAGGGAACTGCTTAGCCCTCAGGTCTGTAGGCCTAGTTTATAGTGAGGGACTGTGCCTGTTGTGAAGGAGCCCGCTCTTGGTGACTTAGAATGTGGCCTCAGTAGTAGTCCTGGGGCTGGAATTCTGGTTCTACCTCTAGGCAAAGGTGTTTAACGACATTCACATTCTTGGTGTATATTGCCAATTTAGCAAAGCATCCATCATTTTGAAGAGATACAATTCAGTACTTTTTAAAAAAGTGTTATTGAGATATAAGTCACATATCACACAATTCTCCCATTTAAATATACCATCTAGTGTTTTTTTTTTTTTGAGACAGAGTTTTGCTCTTGTTACCCAGGCTGGAGTGCAATGGCGCGATCTCGGCTCACCGCAACCTCCGCCTCCTGGGTTCAGGCAATTCTCCTGCCTCAGCCTCCTGAGTAGCTGGGATTACAGGCATGTGCCACCATGCCCAGCTAATTTTTTGTATTTTTAGTAGAGATGGGGTTTCACCATGTTGACCAGGATGGTCTCTCGATCTGTTGACCTCATGATCCACCTGCCTTGGCCTCCCAGAGTGCTGGGATTACAGGCTTGAGCCAGCACGCCCGGCCCCATCTAGTGGTTTTTAGTATGTTTTCAGAGTTGTGCAACCATCACCACTATCAATTTTAGAACATTTCCATCACCCAATAAAGAAACTTCTTAACCACAAATAATCATTTTTCATTTTTCTCTCCTAACTTACTCTGCTGTCCGCCACCATATACCTCCTGGCCCCAGGCAATTGCTTGTGTAATGTCTGTCTCTACATATTTGCCTATTCTGGTTTTTAGCTTTTTTTTAAATTTCCTGGGAGAGTCAGAGTCTGGCTCTGTCCTCCAAGCTAGAGTGCAGTGATACAATCACGTCTCACTGCACTTTCCAATCCCTGAGCTTACGTAATCCTCCTGCCTTACCCTCCCAAGTAGCTGGAACCACAGGTGTGTGCGACGGCTCCCGACTAATTTTTGTATTTTTTATAAAGATGAGGTTTTGCCACATTGCCCAGGCTGGTTTCGAACTCCTGGGCCCAAGCAATCTGCCCACCTCAGCCTCCTGAAGTGCTAGGCTCACAGGCATGAGCCACCACACCCAGCAATTCTTTTTATCCAACGGTAATTATGTATTCTTGACCACTATCTCTCTTCTCCCCTGCTCCCAAACACCAAAGCATCTGTTAATCACCATTCTGCTCTTTCCTTCTATGAGATTTTCTCATTAGATTCTAAATATGAGATCATGCACTGTCTTTCTGTGCCCGGCTTATTCAACATAATGTTCTCCAGGGATTCAATAGTATGGTTGCAAATGACAAGATTTTGTTCTTTTTCGTTGCTAAATGGTACTCCATTGTGTATGTGTCCATTTTGTTGATCCATTCATCTGTTGATGGTCACTGAGGTTGCTTCCATATCTTCGTCATAGTGAATAATGGTGCAGTGAACATGGGAGGGAAGATGTCTTTTTGATGTACTGGTTTCATTTCCTTTGGGTAAATACTCAGTAGTGGGATTGCTGGATCATATGGTAGTTGTAGTTTTAATATTTTGAAGAACCTCCATACTGTTTGCCATAATGGGTATACTAATTTACATTTCCTCCAGCAGCATACAAAAGCTTCTTTTTCTCCACATCCTTGCTAATGCTTATCTTTTGTCTGTTTTTAAATAGAGGTCCAAACAAAGCTAATCTTTTGTCTTTTTGGTAATGACTATTTTAACTGGTATGAAGTGACTGAGGTGATATCGCATTATGGTTTTGATTTTCATTTTCCTGATGATTAGTGATGTTGAACACTTTTTCATATACCCATTGACCATTTGCTTGTCTTCTTTTGAGAAGTCTATTCAGTTCTTTCGCCCATTTTTAAATAGGGTTATTTGTTTTCTTACTATTAAGTTGTTTGGGTTCCTTATATGTTTTGGACATTAACCTTTTGTCGGATGTACAGCTTACAAATATCATATTTTCTCGCGATCTGTAGGTTGTCTCTCCGCTCTGTTGGTTGTCGCCTTTGCTGTTCAGAAGCTTTTCGGTTTGATGTAGTTTGATTTGCCCATTGTTTCCTTTTGTTTCCTGTGCTTTTGAAGTCTGATTTTTAGAATGCTTGCCCGTACAAATGTAATGGAGCATTTCCCCCGTGTTTCCTCTAGCAGTTTCATAGTTTCGGTTCTTAATCTATGTCTTTAATTCAGCTTGAGTTGATTTATGTATATGGTGGGAGATAAGGGTTTAATTTCATTATTCTGCTTGTGGATTTTCAGTTTTCCCAGCATTGTTTATTGAAAGACTGTCCTTTCTTTTCCATAAATGTGTGTTCCTGGCATCTTTGTTGACTATCAGCTGGCTGTAAATATGTAGGTTTATTCCTGTGTTCTCTATTCTGTTCCATTGGTCTAGCTGTCTGTTTTTATACCAGAACCGTGCTGTTTTTTAACTTTAGTTTTATGGTATATTTTGAAGTCAGGTATTATGATGCCTCCAGCTTTGTTCTTTTTGCTCAAGATTGCTTTGGCTATTCAAGGTCTTTTGTGGTTGCATACAAATTTTAGGATTTTTTTTTTCTATCTCTGTGAAGAATGTCATTGGTATTTTGATAGGAATTGCGCTGAATCTGCAGATTGCTTTGCATAGTATGAACACTTAAGAAATATTAATTATTTCAATCTATGAACACAGGATAACTTTCCATTTATTTGTGTCTCCAGTTTCTTTTATCAGTGTTTTATAGTTTTTATCCTAGAGATTTTTCACCATGGTTCAATTTCATCCTAGGTATTTTACTTTTTTTATAGCTATTATAAATGGGATTTTCTTGATTTCTTTTTCAATTAGTTCACTGTTAATGTATAGAAATGATACTGGTTTATGGCTGTAATCCCAGCACTTTGGGAGGCCAAGGCAGGTGGGTTGCTTGAGCTCAGGAATTTGAGACCAGGCTGGGCAACATGGCAAAACCCCTTCTCTACAAAAAATACAAAAGTTAGCCAGGTGCAGTGGTCCCAGCTACTTGGGAGGCTGAGGTGGGAGGATTGGTTGAACCCAGCAGGTTGAGGCTGCAGTGAGCTGTGATTGCAACACTGCACTTCAGTCTGGGCAACAGAATGAGATCTTGTCTCAAAAAAAAAGAAAGAAAGAAAGAAAGAAATGATACTAGTTGTTTTTGTGTATTGGCTTTGTATCCTGAAACTTTACTGAATGTTTTTTAATTCGAATAGTTTTTTGGTGGAGTCCTTAAAAATTTTCTATGCTTACGATCATGTCATTTGTAAACAAGGACAGTTTAACTTCCTTCTTTCCAATGTGGATGCCTCTTCTGTCTCTTTCCTAATTGCCTAATTACAGCATGTTTCTATTCTGTAAATGGTCAATGAACTAGCGAATGATTCGTGGATAATTAATATTCTCAATGTCAATAAACTCTTTCCCTTCTCTGAAAGCAGCTGTTTTCTTGAAGGTTTCAATTCTGCTTGGCACTTTGCAGCATTTCTAGTGATACTGCTCCACATTTTACAGCTTTATGAAGAAGGTGTTTACTTTCTTTGAAATTACCTTGAGATGTTTCAAACTGTGCAGAAGTCATAGGCACAAAAGCAAATGTCTTAGAGTGCTCTGGCCACTTCTGCATCATCTGGCTCTTGAATAGCTTTTAATTCAGCTTTT